GTGCCTGAGTCCCAGCCCAGTGCAGCCCTGCCCTGGGGCTGGCTTTGGGGCTGGGCCTGGGAGGGAGGTCAGGGTCAGGGTTCTGTTGCCTCAGAAGTCCAGGGCAGCGCTCCTGAGAGGTGTCCGGGACTTGCCTCCCTCACCCTCCTGCTCTGTGACCTTGGGCAAGGTAGTGAGCCTCCTGGACCTCAGTTTCCTCACTAGCAAGTGGGCAGGGGCAGGTAAGAGGATCGAGTGAGGTGATGTGGGCCTCCCTCAGGCTGGGCTCGCCCTGGGTGGGGGTTCAGAATGGGTTTAGGAGGTCAGTTATGGCCTCTGTCCCGGGCCCTGTGGCTGAGCCTGAAGTCTGAAGTCTGTCTGCCTGACTTTTATGTCGGCCCATTTGGGGATACACAGTCTGGCCAGGGAGCGGGTTCAGTGGCTGCCCCTGCCCCGTGCTGGGGTGAAACCACGTTCCCCTCTTGTTAGCTGGGACTCCCCAGATGAGTTACCTCAGTAACCCTGACCCTCCTTCCTGCTGCAGACCCCTCCGAAGACCCCTGCCTGGCCCAGGAGAGGGGCCCTGCCTGTCTCGCCTTCCTCCTGCCTTGGTGGTGGTGTGGACCCGTCTGCAGCACTTTGTGGTCCCAGGGCAGGGACCTCCAAGCCCCATAGTTGGGCTCACAGGGAGATGCAGCTTGGTCCTGGAGCCTGGGAAGTTAGGCACCTGGGGTCTCAGTGGGCCACCAGCTCTCTGCTCTGTTGCTCTTTCCTCTCAGCTGCCCCTGTGGCTGATGTGTGGAGTGCGGCTGTCCCAGCCGTGCAGCCTGGGGGCAGGTTGGGCCTGTCCTGTGATCTGTCTTGCACTCTGGAGAGCCATTTCCTGGAAACTGCACGGGAAAGGCTCAGAGCTGTGGTGTGCTTCCATATGGCCCTGGGAGGCTGTTTATTCTGGGTCTCCTGCTGAGGGAGGTGGAGGACCCTTCACCGGGAAAGAACCAGGTGGTCTCTCTCCAAGCCACTGTCCTTCCAGGCCTTCCCCTTGGTACCCTCCTCTTATCTGTGGAGCCCTGCGCTGGCATCAGGTAACCTTTGCTCTCTGCTCTCTGGGGCTTCACCTTCACTAACTAGAAAACGAGGGAGGAGAATCAGAGCCGGTTTTCCTGAATCACCGTTTCTGCTGTAGAATAGAACAGTGGTTCAGGCTCATTGAAAACCAAGTGGTTTTGGAGTCTAGTGAGCCTTTGCTGTCAGGGAGGGCTGCCAGCCTGAAGCCTGTTTTCTCTTTGGAAAGAGTGTCAGAGTAATGTTATAGATGTTACAGAAACAGCAGCACCCCACCTGATGGGTCCTGGTGACAACCCTTTTATTGGAGAACCTGGGGCCCCGATGGTCCCATGGTGTGATCCGTGTTAGTGATTGTGCCATCCGTGTACCCCCTCCCTCCCTGGGGGCCACATGAAGCCTGCTTCCAGTTCGCCATGTTTCTCTGGGTATTTCTCTCCGGTAGCCAAATCTACTGGGCTTTGTTTGACAGTGGGGTTCCAGTCCTGTCATGATGGGGCTCCGGTCAGGGGCTCATTTTAGGAGGCTGCCCCTTCTCGGGGAGCTGGGGAGGCTTCCCCGTATGTGGGCCTCTGTGTGTCAGGTTTGGGGGCTCCTGCCTAGTGGCCACAGTGGGGGTATTTACAGAACTCCTGTTGGTGTGGGCGTGTGCTGGCTGGGAGGGAAGACGCCAGGGGCTGGCTGGGTGGCCTGGTCACCCCCTGCCTGAGTTCCGGCCTCCTCCCCTGCGAGGCGGCCCAAGAGGCTGCTGCCTGGCCTCTTTAGGGGAAAGGAGACCATCTCTGCAGAAAGCCCGGGGCAGCAGGGGCAGTGCTGGGGTGTGTGGCAGAGCATCCCTGCTCTGACAGAAATTGGCAGTGAATTGAGGGAGAGAAGCTGTGGCCGGGCTTAGTGAGTAACAGGCGGAAGGCAGAGGTGCTCGCTGGGAAGCAGCGTCTCTTGCCTGGCTTGGAGATGGTCGTCTGCTGGTCACCTCCGAGGCCAAGTGGACCACTCACAGTGCTTTCGAAGGCCTCTGGTTTGGGCATCCCGCAGGCTGGCTTGGGGTCTCTTTGGCACCACGGTGGGTTTAGAAGCCTTTTCTTTGGTTTTTGGTGGCACAGCAATGGTCTGAAAATACTGCTTGTAAAGAAGTAAAAGTTCAAGTCCTCCACCGTCAGGTGTGGCTGGGGGGTCTAGGAGGAGGCCTGGATCTCCCAAGGGGACAGTTATGTGAACAGAGTGTCACAGGCCTAACCCAGCCCAGCGGGTGGGGCCCAGGGCAGCCTGTCACCTGCTTGGAGCCCTTGGCTGCTGGGGAAATGTAATAGTTTAACTTGAGAACTTAAAGGCAGGTCACTCAGACTCTCTTAGAGACGGAGATGGCGCAAGAGAATATGGGTTTTGCCGGGCGCAGTGGCTCCCACCTGTAATCCCAGCACTTTGGGAGGCTGAGGCGGTCGGATCACCTGAGGTCGGGAATTCGAGACCAGCCTGACCAACATGGAGAAGCTCCTGCATTTACTAAAAATACAAAAAATTAGCCATGTCTGTCATCCCAGCTACTCTGGAGGCTGAGGCAGGAGAATTGCTTGAACCTGGGAGGCGGAGGTTGTGGTGAGCCGAGATCTCTCCATTGCAGTCCAGCCTGGGCAACAAGAGCGAAACTACGTCTCAAAAAAAAAAAGAAAAAGAAAAAGAGAAAAAGAGAAAAGAAAACGCGTGTTTCCCTAATTGGAGAAAACCCTGTTGTTTTGCGTTTGGTGTCTCGGCATGTGGCAGAGGCCTGGGCGGACACTTTGGGCTGGTAATTCGCCGCTAATGACAGCCCCGTCTGCAGGGCTACTGTTCCGATTGTTTGGCGTTTGAGTTATAACCTAGGGTTGTGATTATGTTTAAACCCTGTGATTCAAGTCCCCTGTGGTTACACAGGAAAGGCAGGAAGTACCGGTCTATCAAAAACATTCGTAATAGTAATAGAAATCACTCATTCTGCACAGCAGGCCTGCGCTGAGTGTTTTATGCGAATCGTCTCAACAAAGCCCTCAGAGCATACAACTTCACCCCATTTTACAGATGAGGAAACTGAGGCACAGGGAGGCAGTGCAGCTTGCCTGAGTCCCCAGTTTGTTCCTGAGCAGAGCTGGGATTTGCTGTGAAGGCTATGCTCATAAACATTGCAGCCTTTCTGCCTTCCGAATAATCCTCTTCTAAGAGGGATTTTGTGAGAGAAGTATCGGCAATAAACTTAAAGTCGTGATGAGACTTTTCTCTTTGCTGTCAACCATGCAGTAAATAGCAACATGTGGATAGCATGTCCTGCTCGGGGCCAGACAGCCCTCTAAGCGTGGTACACGATTTATTTTCGTAACAGCTGGCAGTAGGTGCTCTTGTTAGCTGCATTTCACACAGGAGGAAGCCCTGGCACAGAGCCGTTCAGCAGCTTGCCCAGGGCCACAGGTTGCTGCGTGGTGGAGGTGGGTTTGGACCGATGGGCGGTGCTTTTAACCCAAGTCCCATATGCGCAGGGATTGGGTGGAGAGCATGCTTGATCTTGCTGCTGTGTGTTCTTGGGCAAGACACCTAACCTCTCTGGGCCTCGGTTTGGTCACTTGTAAATGAGGGCCTTGGCCTAGGGTATAGAAGCCAGAGCTCGAGAGCTGGCTCTGGCCTGAGGTGGCTGCGCACCACCTCCCACAGGGAGGCCCAGGTGGGTGGAGAGACCTGGCTGCCACTTCCCTAGAGGAAGCAGGTCTGCTGAGGAGCAGGCTGGGGCCTTGGCTGGGACTGGGTGGGGCCTTGGCTGGGGCTGGGTGGGGCTGGGTGGGGAGGCCATGGGTGGTCGAGCAGCGAGGGCTTCTGGGATGCACTTGGCAGTGGCCGAGTCAGTGCCCTCTGTGAAGTGAGGTCCGAGGAGGCAGAGCGTGGGGGTGCTGGGAAACTGTGAAGCTCTGTGCTGGGTGAATTGTTACTTGTCCCTGGGGAACAGGAGGGACAAGAGACTGCTCGGGAGCCCGTGCTACCAAACTCCCGAGAAGCTGTAGTTGGGAGAAGCTGAATGCTGGGCAGCGAGCAGTTAGGAGGGTCCAGGAAATGACTCAGCCTCTCTTGGTCGGTTCCCCTGCGGGCCATTCCTGGGACCTCTCTGCTCCACGTCCCCTCGCCAGGGAGGCCTCCTGTGAATGCCCCAGCCATGCCTCTGCTGTCACCGCTCTCCTCTTCTGGAGGTTCTGGTTTGTCTACTGTTTACCATGCTTCCCTTCTAGAAGGTGGGCTCCTGAAGTTAGGGGTCTCTGCTCATGTCCAGCGACTTGGAGTGGCGCTTCATGGTGCCTGATATCCTGGGACCCTGGCTTGGGGCTGAGCTGAGCTGTGGAGTGAGGTAGGGCCAGGGGCCAGGCTGGGAGTGAAGTTGTTTGTTCCCCACTCTTGGTGTTGACCTTGGCCACCTGGCTGAGGTGTGTTTGTCAGCATCTTTATTGAGGTATAATTCACACACCATACAACACACTCATTTAAAGTGCACAGGTCACGGACTTTTAGTACATTCACCAAGTTGTGCAACCATCACCACAGTTGAAACCCAAACAGGAACCTGGGCCTTCTAGATACTTTAAGTACTCCCTGGACCCTTCCTCCCTGCCCCTGGCCACCATCTTTCTCTCTCTCTCTCTCTCTCTCTCTCTCTCTCTCTCTCTCTCCTGTTTTTTGTGAGATGGAGTTTCGCTCTTGTTGCCCAGGCTGGTGTGCAATGGCATGATCTCAGCACTGCAACCTCTGCCTCCCAGGTTCAAGTGATTCTCCTGCCTCAGCCTCCTGAGTAGCTGGGATTACAGGCGTGCACCACCATGCCTGGCTAATTTTGTATTTTTAGTAGAGACGGGGTTTCACCATGTTGGTCAGGCTGGTCTCGAATTCACGATCTCAGGTGATCCACCCGCCTCGGCCTCCCAAAGTGCTGGGATTATAGGTGTGAGTCACCGTGCACCCAGCCAACTCTATTTTTTAAAAACTGTTTTAGATTTATAGAAAAATTGCAGAGATAATCCAGAATTTCCAAATTATCCCTACCAACCATTGCAGTTAGTTGGGTGATTAGCATCTCACATTAGTGTGATAGGTTTGTAACAATCCAGGGACTGATATTGATACATTATCATTAGCCAAAGTACATAGTTTGTTCAGATACATTAGCTTTTACCTAATGTCCTTTTTCTGTTCCAAGACTGCATCTCGGGTCCCAGATGACATCTAGCTGTCGTGTCTCTGTAAGCTCCTCTTTGCTGTGATGGCTTCTCAGAGTTTCCTTAGTTTTGATAACTCTGACAGTCTTAAGAAATAGTAGGTATGTTGTGGGATATCCATCCATTGGAATTTGTCTGTTTGGACAATTGGAATTCCTCTGTTGGAATTTGGATGCGTTTCTCGTGGTGAGACCGGGGCGCCGGCTTAGCGGGAGGAAGACCGCGGAGGCGCGGTACCCTCTTACTGAATCACGCCAGGCGCACACCGTCGATGTGGCCCGCGGCTGCTGGTGCTGGCTTGGCCACCCGGCTGAGGTGTGTTTCTTAGGCATCTTCATAGCAGTTCTTGGGTTTCCTTCCTCCGGTACTGTTGCCTGTGGGAGGAGGTCACTACAGCCAGCCACGCTTAAGGGCTGAGGAGTCACGCCCGCCTCCTTGAGGGAGGAGTGACTGCGTCACTGATGTGACCGTCTTCTGCAGGGGGATCTGTCTCTTCTCCTCATTTATCAGTTTATGCAGCTGTTTACTTATCCGTGTGGGTTCGTGGATACTCATTTAACCCGCTGGGTCTCTGCGGAATGCCGTTATTTTGTTTGCTCACTTGTTCCAGTGCTGGCTGTCGGGTTCCCTGGACGTACCCCTTCACGGTGGGTGGTGTGAGTGCTTCCTCACTTTCTGGCCCTACGAGATGCTCCAGGCTCAGCTTGTGCATTCCCTGCCCAGGCTTAGTGTCAGCCCCTTCTCCAGGGAACCTGGGTTCCTTTTGTTGGAGGGTGGAATCGGAAACCAAGATCCAGGTAGCAGGTACGCTTGTCAGTACTGGGATGTCATTGCTTCTAGACCCTCTCAGCTGACAACAAGGAAAAGCACGCGTGAGCTGATGCACGGGTATGTTCATGTCTCTGCCTGTGTCCGTGTGTAGCCTCCTGTACCTTTATCGAGTGAAACGTGAGTTTGTGCTGCTGATGAACTCTGATCCGATTCCTACGTGGATCTTTCTCATCTTCTTTCTTGCTGATCAATTCGTGTCTATTCAAGCAGCAGGAAGCCAGACTCCCACCACTTGCCACCCATCTACTTTATCCCGGTGTGTCTGCATAGTGGGACTGGAGTCTTTAGTGGGACCCCTCGGGAAACAGTTCCCGATCCCTTGGCTGTCGCAGCATGGCTGGCTGGCTGGAGCTGGGGAGGGGCCGCCGCCTCCCCAGCGTGGTTCCATGACTTAGAGGGAAGAGGGGAGGGAGGCTGCAGAAGAACCAGGGACTTCCCTGCTGTGCTTAGTCAGCCTGGCCCCGCAGGGACAGGCACTGGCTTGGCATTGCTTTGAGACGTGAAAGTGGGACTGATTTAGAATGCATCCCGGAGTCTGGCCTCCTCGGGCAAGGAGGAGAAAGGCTGCCGGCGGGACGCTTTAGAGCTCGGACAAATCTCCGACTCCATCCTGGCCAGGTCTGTCCCCTCTCCGCCCCTGAACTTGCCACCCTGGCAGGGGACGGCCTTTGAAAAGATCTACAGAGCCGCATCTGCTGGCCTTTCTGTTAAGCGTCTTTCATGCAGGACTGCGTCAGTCTCTTGCAGAAGTTTTGGGAAGACAGAGAATCAGGCAGTCACTCCCCGTCTGCTGGTTTGTTGGTGGTGTTTTCCAGGCAGCATTTTTGGGATCTGAGTGGAGCCTTTTTTTTTTTTTTTTTGAGACGGAGTTTCGCTTTTGTTGCCCAGGCTGGAGTGCAATGGTGCGATCGCGGCTTATTGCAACCTCCACCTGCCAGGTTCAAGTGATTCTCCTGCCTCAGCCTCCCAAGTAGCTGGGATTATAGGCACGCACCACAATGCCCAGGTAATTTTGTATTTTTAGTAGAGATGGGGTTTCTCCATGTTGGTCAGGCTGGTCTCAAACTCCCGACCTCAGGTGATCCACCTGCCTCGGCCTCCCAAAGTGCTGGGATTACAGGCGTGAGCCACTGCGCCCAGCTGCCTGTCTTGTTTTCTTGATGTTGGGTTAACTGCGGCCCTAGATCCAGGAAGCCTCCAGTCACAGCACCCCAAGGCCCTTGCCTGGAATACAAGACTTTTACTCTTGTGTTCGTGGTCCCACGAGGAGTTCTGGCTTCTTATCACCTGTCCTGGGCACCTGAGTGATGCTTCCACCTTCAGGGCACACATGGTGGGAGCTTCTGCGAGGTGGAAAGGTAAAGAGAGCCTGTGCCGGGGAGGGAGCGACAAGGAGGGCTCCCTGGAGCCGTGAAGGAGGGACACAGGAGTTTGAGGACGTAGGAGTGGGGACGGCTTGGGACCGGCCTCTCAGGTCAGCTTGTTAAAGGCCAGCCTCTGTGCAGGGCTCCCGGAGACCCAACCAGCATGTCCCTGCAGCTCCTTTGGGGCCAGGACTGGGGTTCCAGCCACGTGTTGGGTGCAGTGGGATACCTGGCTCCTCTGTCCGCGCCCTGAAGACCCTCATCTCTGTGCTATAGGGCTAGGCCCTCCCATGACCCCCACATTTCCCCAACCCCATGGAGTGTGTCTAAGGAAGCAGGTGGAATCGGCCTGGCTCCCCGAGTCTGGGGCCTAGAGCAGAGCCCGAGGAGCCAGGGCTGCCCTGGGCAGGGGATGCTGGCATTCCTGGGAATGCAGCTTAGGGGGTGGTCCCCTCACCTGCCTATGCCCCTACCTGGGGCCAGCCTCCTGTCTTCCGGCTGACCTTGTCTCCCTGCTCGCCCTGGCTCCTCCCCACCGCCCTGTGTGCCCCACCCCTGTACTCGCTGGGCCCCATTGGTTCTTCCCTGCTTTCCAGGTTGAGATTTGTGGGCTGGCTCAGTCTGGTGCAGTGGTCAGAGGCATTTACTGGGTGACGCTGGCCCGGTGGAGCTCTGTCCCCTCCTCTATTTCCCCTCCGCTCCCCAGCCCTGGTTCCCCAGGCTCTGCTCTAGGCCCCAGACTGAGGGAGCCAGGCCAATTCCACCTGCTTCCTTAGACACATTCCATAGGGTTGGGGAAACATGGGGGTCACGGGCAGGCCTGTCCCTATAGCACAGAGACGAGGGCCTTCAGGGGTCAGACAGAGGAGCCAGGTATCCCACTGCACCCAGAGCTCTGGCGTGGCTGAATTGCTGGTGGGGTCTCAGCTGCCCAGGGCAACTGGCTGCTGCCCCTGCTGGGACATGAGCTGGGGGGAACTCCTACCTGTCTGCTGGGGAAAGCGGCCCTGGGGTGAGCCTGGCCTGAGCAGTGACGGCCTACAGGGTCCTCTGTCTTCCTGCCCTGCAGCTGATGAAGAGGGAGCTGAGGCCCTGCAGCTCCGGGGGCACTTGGACCTGGATGGGCAGAGGTAGGAAGGTGTGTGTAGACCTTGGCCCCTGGGTGGGGAGTTTGGCGTTTAGAAGTCTGAAGCAACACCCACACCGTGTCAGTGTCCCAGAACCCAGCCTCTCACCCGGGAAGAACCTGGTGCTGGACAAAGCCCGTGCTGATGATCGCGTACTTCTTTGCATGCTTTCTCAGCCCACTCTGTGCCTAGTGGCTCTTGTTTGCCACGGAACCCTGACGAAGTGGATTATGCCCTGCCCTGAGAGAACGCTCACCTGACAGCAGGAGTGGACCCCGCAAGAGTGGAGGCCCCTGTGGTCTGTGGAGCATGTGTGCCCACTAGGCTATGATGAGCCGGTGATCTGGGGCCCCAGAGTAGAAGGTGACGTTGTGTCCCCAACCACTGCTGGACCGCAGCAAGGTGTGTGAGTCATTTCACAAGTTCTCCACCCAAGAAGTGAAACTGTCAGGTTTAAGTGTGTGGGGATGGGAAGGGGAAGACTGTTCCAAAAGCTCAGCCGTCCGGAGTGACACCGGGCCATCAGCTCTGGGAGGCGGACACCGGGCCATCAGCTCTGGGAGGTGGAGGCCCTTTGGGGTCCCATTCCGGCTTCAGTGCCCAGGTTCGTGTCCACTGCTTGGTTTCTGTAGCCCTTCTCTTCCAACTAGGGGGATAGTCAGGGTCTGATAAAGGCTTGAAGGGGAGGGCCTCTCCCAGCAGCGTGCCTGGCAGGTGGCCCAGGCCGGGGCAGAGGGCCAGTGGGCTGGATGGGGTCAGTGGGCGAGGCTCCGTCCTGTCCTGTCCTGTCCTGTCCTGTGGGAGGAGCCTAGGCAGGCACACTCAGCCAACCCCAGCTCAGGAGGGAGGGACCCAGAGGCACGGGTCTGAGGTAGGGTTGAAACAGGTGGAATTGACTGGTGGTCGTTGCTGGCTCCTGGAGCCTGACCTGCCCAGCAGTGGAGGTGGCAGATGTTTAGTGGAGAGGAAGTGAAACAGGTGTGTGCGCCAGAAGCCTGGGCGTCGGGTCAGGGCCGCGGGAAGATGGTACAGGGCTCCTGATTCTCCCTGTCTGGGCAGATGCACTCACATCACAGGATGGCAAAAGGCCTGAGGGTTCAGGGGGCCAGGGCCTGGTCAGGAGGGGCACAGGCGGGGCGGGAGTGGTATCTACTTGGCTCTAGATGTCTCGAGTGGGTGGTATCTACTTGGCTGTAGATGTCAGGATTAGAGAGAGACTCTGGGACAGCCCCAGCCCTGATGGAGCCCTATGGAGCTGCCTTCAGGGGCTCTGTCCCAGAGTCTCTCTCCAAGCCTGACATCTAGAGCTGTGACTCAGGGTGGGAGGGCCCTGGGGGCTCACCCCCAGCCACCCCGTCTGCTGTCAGACCCTAGGAGCATGGGAGAAGCCAAGTAACCCTGGTGACTGCCCGGTGTCCCCCACAGCCCGATGGGTGAGGAGCCGGTGGGGCAGCAGGGGCAGAGCTGAGGTCAGCACAACTCCGTGCCTGTCTGCCTGTCTGTCTTACGTCCCTCCAGGCAGCACCACGCAAGGGCAGGGAGGTGGCAGGCCTGCTGAGCTCTGCGGATGCGGGGCAGACCCGGCTGGCTTGTTGTAGCACCCGCCCCGGGTGAGTGCCGTTCATATTGGGATCTGCGAAGTGGGTCAAACCACTCTGGAAGGCAAAAGGGGAGCTGTGGCCTCTGGCCAGCCACCTTCTAAGCTTTTAAAAGGCCCCACCCCAGTCCCTCACAGTCTTAGCCATCAGCTGCCTTTGGAGAATGAGCGATCTGAAGATGTTCCTGGTTGGGGGGCAGGGGTGACCAGTGTTCCTGGAGCTGAGGGGTGCCCACCCTTTCCTCCGTCCTCCTTCCCTGGCCTGATCCAGGAGCCCCAGCCTTGCCTCTCCATCCCCGGGGTCCTCAGGCTCTCCTGACGCAGGTCTCGGGAGGGCATGTGACACTGGCATCAGTCCGGGCTGGGCAGAGCCTGGATGTGGCCCAGGCTGGGCTGGAGCCGAAGCCTTTCTTCCCAGGTCCTGTCATAGCTATGGGGCCTGGGGCTGGTGACCCGGCCTCTGCCAGCGTCCCCCCACCCCCTCCCACGGTAAGGTTGGTGACAGCAAAGTTCCTGTAAACATTTGAGATGTCCTGTGTAAAGTGCTGGCCCCTGGCAGTGCAACCACAGCTCGTCACTGTGGCGCTGGGCAGAGGGCTGGGTACGCAGCAGGTTCTCCGTCAGTACCGATGGGAGAAGCAGGGGCGGCGGGGGACCTGGATGGGCGACACTCCCCGGCCTGCTGGTGCTCCAGGGAAGACCTTTTCAGAGTTGGGAGACCCTGGCCC